GGAATAAACAAAGAAAGGGGCACTAGGAGCCAGAAGACTACAGGGAAATAAAATTAAGTAGGACCATGTATGTGCTAGAAATGGCCTTCTAATAAATAATTGTCTATTATTTTCTTCCATGGGATCACTGCATCAACCACAGCGCTGGATGGTCCCACGCTGGGAAAGAACAGAGGTGCATTGTTTGCAAGCTCCCTAGTTCACTTATTGCAGAAATTGCTATGTTTCTAGTTTCTAAGGAGCAAGGGCAGGGAGTGAAGGTGCAGGAAGGAAACCAATGTAGCTGCGGAGGAATTGCATCCTGTGCTGCCTTCTGGTAGTAATTCCTGCCTCATGCTGAACAAATACCTGAGACCAAGCTGTTCACGGGTAACACCATGGTATTCTCTGTTTTTCATATGGTTCATACAAAATGTAAATACAAAATGCAGCTGCAACAGATCAATGGAAACTATACTTTCAAAATATGAAGAATGCTTTTTATTTTACAGAAAAATAATTGTTCTGTGCTCCAAAGAGCTCAAAGTCTCAGGTATTTGCTTTACTTTGAAAGAGATGAACCTTGAGAAAAGGAGCAAAACAAACTGTTTGAGTAACTCCTGACCAGAGGAGTTGGGTTCCCTTACACGAAGAGAAGGTTTTATTCAACCGACACCTGAGTATTTTAGTGCCGGCATGATCTGAGCATGTAGTACAGTACAATGTAGTACAGGAGCAGGATATTATATACCAGCAAAAATCCAACTTAAGAAAAAAAATCCAACCTCCCATTGCCAATAGCTACCATGTCAGCAGGATGCAGTTCACTTTGGAAAACCATCAAGAAGTGATGTGGGAAGTCTGCCTTGTAGAGGAGGCTTCTCATCTGAATTGCCAAAAATCAGTGCTTCCTTATTAGCTCAGATACTTCTTTATTTTAAAAATGGAGGCAACATCAATTTCTTCCTGAAACACCTTTCAAGTGTTCACAACAGCTTTCCAAAGGAAACGAGAGGGCTAAGAGATGGCTTCAACTCAACTTGCAACCATGATACATTCTTTTTTAAGCCTGTATCTTGCCACTAACTATTGGATTAGGTAAGCTATGACTGCTGTAACAAGTCGGAAACCCAGCTCCCATGACAAAATAATACAGCGTTAGCTTCCAGTAGCAAATAGGAACCTGTTGTTTTAAAACAGTCAAAAACATTTTTTGACAATTCACCCACAACTGAGTCTTGAAAAAGACACCCCAAAGGAAAAAACGTATTTGAGGGAAAATAACAGGGGCTGTAAAACAAGTCTCCGGAGCCTACATACCTTTATGTAGACAAACACGTAAATAGGTGGCTTGGCTTTTTAACAGTGTGAGAGTTCAGTACCATCTGTTAACTTCAATACTACAGCATGTCTTCTAAAAGTCGTTACTTCTATGGATTACATAAAGACCAAACAGTTTGCCAGAGCTCAGAGGCTGGACACAGTGAAATTTTAGACCCATCAGGAATACGCAAGTGCCATGCATTTTGTCTAAGTTCTGCTTTGACAGAGCAAATACTTTGTGAAGCAATCTAAACAAAAGTGATGTAACACACAAATTTTATGTTACACACACCACATCCTAACAATTCTGTGATTTCTCAGTCTGCTGTTAAAAAAAAATCAAAGCAAGACTAACTGGCATGAAAAATGACTATTATATTTCAGCTCAGGCATTGCGTTTTAAAAAGCAATCAAATTGGACAGTTTCCCAAAAAAACAGTTCTTGTGAAATTTTGCCCTTGCATAATGCTTTCATTTGCATACCGTATAGCTCTGCACAGTATAGCTCAGTACTTGTACACTATTATTTGTGCCCTCATATATATTCTGCAGGCACATAAGCCAATATTTACTCAAAAATCAACCATTACCTAGCTCAATGAAATAGTCGTTTCTTTGAGATATTATTGTTGATTTTCCTTGGTCACCAAAACAAAACTCCATAAATTACACAGATCCTTGGTATACAGGAATGCTTTAGCTAACGTATAAACTTGCTCTTGAATGCTTTAGCTAATGTATAAACTTGCTCTTTCTTTTGCACACACTCCTTCATTTTTCACTCCAGAAAATAATTGCAAGAGTAGCAACAGAGAATGAATTCCCTCTTCAGGCAGCAGCTGAAGAGCTTCAGCAATGTGAACATTTCTACAATGCTCATAATCTATCTAAACCATGACTTGGAGGGGAAGAAGCAAGTTCAGTTTTCACTCCTATTCAGTCTTTGACCTCGATGCTAAATAAACAGATGGAATGATGGTTATCAGCACCACCTGTAACTGTTTTAGCAGCATGGACTCCTGTCCAGTAGGAATCAGACTCTGGCTATCAACACTTTTCAAAAAGGCTGCAAGCAGCACATAGAATGCAGTAAGTCTTTGTTATTTCCAACCTGAGCTGGTTTCAAACCAGCGAGCTACTGTCAGAGTTTTCCACCCCTTTTATCCCTTCTGTGAAGCACCACCTCACAGCAGATGTGGTGTTTGGGAAATCCAGGAACTCCAGATGTTAGTATGCATGGGATGCAAGAGATCCCCAGGAGGACAAAAAAACCAGGTAAATTGCAAATAGCAATGAAATAAGCAATACCGTGATTAACAATATCCTGACTATTCTGCTATTCATTTCTAGTGCAATAGGTGTTAGATGACAACTTCTGGAAAGTCACACCCCAAAGTATGAAAAAAAACACTACCACCACCTGCTATATAGAAAAGAATAATTACCCATTAAGTACCAGGACTCAATTTCCTCACCTACAAAGCTAAACATTTCCCTTATCAGAATAGTGCTGGGCATCTCAAAAACCTGCAAAGCTGAGGAATGCACAAACTGGAGAAGCGCGTACACAAGAGTTTGTGGATGTGTCTGTACTGCAGAATAAGTGTGATGCTGAGAATCTCAGGCCACTCCACAGAGCCTGCACTTCCTGGCCCTGGCAGCTGCATTAAGTCTGTGGCCTTACACTGCGATAAGTTTGAGGCTTGAAAACTCAAGGGATCTGCAAAAAATAACTATGAAAAGCATCAAGGAACGCAAAAGCCAACTTCCAAAATGGACAAATTCTCAGCTAGTGTAAATCAGCATCGGTCAACTGGAGGCCGCTACAGCAGCGGAGACTTTCATTTACAAGAATCCTGTGCTATAGGCTGAAAAGTTCACTTAATTTGCAGCACAGCTTAGAACAATTAAACCCCAAGTGATCTTGCACTAGCACAGGACCTGAGAGCTTGGCCTTACAAATGAAATACTTAACAGTTATACAGCACGCTTGCTACAGAGAATTACTTCACCTAAACAGTCTGTATACATATGGTGGAGGAGAAAAAATATTTGGTAGACATAATTAAAAAAGCTAATTAATATCAATGGCAAGCTATCTTAAAAGGAGTTTTAGTAACAAGTGCATTTGCCAACAACCAAACACACAAACAAATTAAAGTGTCCACATTGATTAGCTTTAACTGCAATATGCTTTCTGAGCTTCGGACATAAATTTTCTAACTAATTCAGAGGCTACAATAATACATAAATATTTTCCACTAGCTTAATATGAATTTTAAAAGCTTTTGATTTTAAGAGTAATAAATATTCTAGATAATATATCTGCAAGACCTTATTCCTCTCCGTATTGACAGAAATCACAACTCTGCCTTTGACCTTAAATCAATAGTGATGAGGACTCAATTACTCAGTACTGCACTACTGTACACCACCATGCTTAATTATAACAACACAATGCACTATTAATACCTAAATACAATCTCATTTGAATGGTAAAGTCTTAAAAAAAGGGAAATGAAGAACTATGGGCAATACATGTAATCTTAAAATATGGGGAGTATTTCATCAGTTCCAACAGACCTGAACTAAATAAAGCCCTTGTTCATTTGCCTGTCCTCAGATCATAAAATTAGTTGTTTTAAAAACCTGGAAGATTCATCAACTTTCCATCAGTGATAAATGCAAACAAGCGAAAAACTGGCTGGGTTTTCTTTCACATAGTAGGTATCGTAGGCATTACAATTGAGAAAACATTTTAAAATGTGTATTAAAAATAGGAATGTTTCCACAATGGAGGTAGATTTTTATAATCAGCAACATGTCTTTTAATGAAAAGGCAGAGTAAACTGGCCTATCTCCATTGATTTCAGTGGAACTGGGCTGTTCCACAACAGCTCCAGAATGGGCAGAGGTTTACACGATGCTCCACAACACTCCACCAAAAATAAAGACAACTATCAAGGAAAACATTCCCATGCTTTTCTCTATGAGAGCGAGATGCACCGTTACACGTGAGAGATGTTTTTAAGAGATGCAGATTAAGAACATTCTAGTACACAGTTAAAAAAAAAAAAAACAACAAAACACAACCAACATTTGTAAATCCAACAGTCTACACAGAACATCATCTTGATGTCTAACACACCAAAAATCACAGGATCTACTTCTCACTCCGTATGTTCTTCCCTCCTCCAGTTTCAGCCTAATCCTTAATTTAACTCAAACATCCCTGCCAGAGAAAGTCAAAACAATAATGCTGAATTTAAGAAAATGCAGAAGGTGTTAAGCATACCAATACAGTGCCAGTCTACGTGGCAGGGCATTAGAAGCTAAGCCAAATACCAACCACCTCACCCAGACAATGTTCAAATACAAATAACAACTTTCCTCCCTTAGTAATTTTATTCATCTGCAACAGTACATTTTGTTTTTCTCATAAAAGGTCTTAAGGTTTCACTTTACATGTACGCCAGGGTCTGACATTTAAAAGAAAAGACACACACAAAATCCACGTCCGCTGACTGTTGATCTGTCACAACTGCCAGCGTCAAGTACAACAGCATTTAATTTCATGGTGAAAAGACATCACAGGTTTTCCCCCCCGTACACTCTTTTGGTTTATACATCTATGCTTCCCAGTATGGCTAGATTGGCCTTTCTTGAATAACAGAAATATAAAGCAGGTATTAACCTACCTTACGCCCATCACTTGCATGGCAGTTCACATTTAAAGGAGTCAATAAAGCCATCAGTTTTTCTTCATTACCACTCCTGTAAATGGAGAGGAGAGGATTACGGAAAGGGGGAAAAAAAGACAGAGCTCTGCAAAACATTTGCGAAGGAGCTGGATATCAAAGTATAGTGTATTGAAATTTGTACTCTGCCAGGGAGAATATCAGATGGCTAAAGGATCTTCTGAACATTTCAAAGCCAAGGGTAAATACAGAAAAGAATATTAAATTCACAGATCATGCAAAAACACCTATTAATTTCTCTCCTTAACCTCATCGTATATTTCCTTTATCTAATTTTACAGATCCTCTGAAAGCCATTTGCTGAATTAAATGTTCTAAATTAAATACATTTTCATAGCATATGGCCCATAACAGTAGAAACAACTGCATACCAATATCCTGAAATTTTTTAGAAGGGTTAACAGTCTATATAAAACAGTCATGTGCTGTCAGAAGGAAGGATAAAAGCATCTTTGGAATATATGACTGAACTTTACACCTTTTATATAGGCTTCCTTATGCTCTGTTCTGAAAAAGCCTATTTTCAAAATATATCCTAAGGTAGCACTAAAAACCAAAAGAAAAGAAAAATTCCAATATTTAATTTGCCCCTAAAAAGAACAGTCACAAAACGATAAAGAGGATTTAAGGAGCTTAAAGCAAAAACTCAATATTAACCTTATAACCACCATAGTGGGGGATTTCAATTACATAAACCGGCTTTTCCATTTGTACCAGACTGCAAAGTCCAAAGAGATTTATGCTAATGAAGTGGTTTGTTTGCATCATTTCATGGAAAGGCAATGACAAAATATTACTGTTTTAAAAATCCCTTTTCCTCTCCTGCTTCCACCCCCAAAAAATGCTTTATATTCTAAGCAGCACTCACCTAGCAGCTTCCAGGAGTTCGTCCTTCTTGTATTCACCTAAATGGTTGCAAAATATCATGCTGTTAGCATTTGGCAGAAGACAGATTAAGAAATGCAGTAGGAAGCAAATACAGAATTAAAACAGAGAAGAGGAGAAAAAAGCCCACACCCCGCTGGGTGATGGAGCTGTGACGTTAGCCAGCTTGTGGAGGCAGCATCACCAGTACCTTGGAGACGGGCAGCAAATTGACGCATCTTCTTGTCCAATCCTCAGATGGAAAGGCTTTCTTCGGACGACCAATGACTGCGAAATCTTGTGTCCAGAAACACAGTCCCGCTGATAACAGCATGTCAGCTGAAGACAATGTCCCCACCCCCTGCCCTATTCAGTATGTCACATTATACTTGGGAAGCATAATAAATTCTGAGACAAAAGCGAGGCAGTGCGGCTTTTTAAAAGGTACAAATTACCGATCTCCAAAGCTCTCACCTGCCTATTTGAACGGTAATATTAGACTTCAAGTTCTTCAGAAGAGCAGTGATTATTTTAAAAATTCCAAATATTATATCATCAGCCACTTTCCAAGAAAATATGCATTTGAAATAAAAAGCACAGACAAAAGAGCATGAACTCTCCAAGAGATTTTGTTACGAGACTCAGATTAGAGGTAACCACGAGTAATGTTAAAGCAACGTTTACATTTGAAATTCCGAATTACAACAGACAACTCAGGAAGGTTGTTGCATCACAGGATTAAAATGAATATCTTAAAAAGAGCATAGAATAACATGACCTGTGGAAGTCGGACGGTATTCTACAAAGCTGAATCACGATGACATCGCGCAATACAAATTTAAGGAAATTTTAATTCAGAAATTAGAAAAATAGCTTTTAAGCAGCTTCATAAAGTCACAGAGCAGAGAGTATCCTTAAGAGCCAAAAGATGCAGGGCTTGAAAAACATACTATACACTACCTGCCAGAGGTTTAAAGCCTCTAACCACAGCATTATAAGAAAAACAGGAAGATGAACCTGTCCTGCAAGAAAGAAAAAACCTTTGTGCTGCCTCCTATGCGTATTTGTAATCAGCCTCCAGTGAAACTCTCATTACAGGTGAGGAAAGCTGTCAGGCCATGGGAAATGCCAGCTCGGACTGCAGGTAAACTGGAAGGCTCCTCTGGAAACAATATCCCTCAATGAAGAACTTCTCTAGGCTGCGGGAGGAGGGTGAGAGTCCTCTTCCATCAGAAACAGCTTGGTACTCCCCCCATCACAGCTCCTCCAGTTATCAGCAGAGGGGGACAAGGACCACAACAAACCCAGCCCTCTCCAGGGCCTGAGGGAGCCCTGTTTAGTTCAGCAACCTGCCTTCCCCCAGGGGTAGGGAGGAAGAGGGCAAGTACCCACAGCCACGCGCCTCCCACGCCATCCCCCTGGCTGCAGCTGAGGAAGTCTCACACAAAGACATTATCTGCATCTCATCGTACCGGTGAATTTTCCTTCCACAAGCGTGTTTAATTGCTTTCCGAAATATATTCAGCTTTGGGAATTCGCAACAACCTGCAGCAAGGAGTTCCACCACGCAACTGCCTCTCGCACGACAGGTCTCTCAGCTGAGCGGTTCTGCGTTGCTGAACCCCAGCAATGGCGCAGATGAGTTCAACACAAGGTGAAGAACTGAAATTGGCGTTCCAAGTATAGGCCATGAAGGTTAATTTAGCTTTTGGAAGAATTTATACGTCTGAATGAAAACTTGATCATGAAGCAAGTAAAATGACACAAAAAATATGACTGCCTTTGTCTCACCGCCACTCTCCCACTTCCGAGGGGGTTGCTGCCCACCACAGGCAACTGCCTTTTCAAGCCATGGTGCATGTTCCTCTTTTTTTTATTTTAATGAAGATAAAATACTGGGCACAGTTGTGAGTGTTTCAAATCAATGGTGAGTTAAAAGCTCTGGCCAGCATGTTATGAGGAAAAAAGACAGACACTTTATTACTACTGCATTACTTGTGGAACAATCTCAAAACAGCTGGATTTCCTGCAGGAGAGTTATTGGCCTGTATTGTATCAACACTTCAGGGACCTAATCAGATTAAAAGACCTGTTTGCACATTCTGGTTTGGCACAGTGCAGCTAGCAGTCCTAACCAGGCTTTTGAATACTATTAGGTTAGACAAGTGTAATAACGTTTTTCCTTCGTGCTCAGTAAGTTCGTACTTTAAAACACAAAGGCCCTTTCCTCAAATACCTTTATTAGCAAAAGCATTACTGACTAACAGAAATGGAAGGCTGTGGCTCTTGATTTAGAAATGTCCCACTGTATGCCTAAGTTAACCAGTTACTTTTACTAAGTGGTACTTTTTTAAAAAAGGTATTTACAGATACCATTGAAATTCATACAAGCAATGCTTGAAATTCATCACAGCTCTCCCACTCTGCGATACGGATTAGGAAAACATTATCTTGTAATTGGCTAACTTTATTACTCTCAAAGAGACGTCACATTTTGCAAAGCAACGCCTAAAATTATACAGGCGCTTAGAGCACACCATCAGGTTTGCTAAAAAAGGCCAAGCGCACTCTGCAGGGCTCTGCTCTCCTGGCCAGGAACGGGATGCAGGGGAACCCCTTGACCACTCAAGCAAACAGCTGGTGGGATGCCACTAAGCGGAGAGAGGGCTGGCGGATGGCATTCGGGAGAAGTGGGTGGCACTGCCCGCAGGACCAGCTTCTGCTGGCGCAGGCTGCGTTCCCACCAGAGGGCTCTGCCAACACAACTAAAGCCGCTTGGCTACGAAGCATATCAAAGGCCATCCTGCAGCATTTGGCCACAGATACCTAATAAAATATTCATTTGCAAAGCATTTGAAAACAAACCATGCGTGCTTGTGGCAGAGATGAATTTCAAGTTCTGAGCTGAAGTACAGGAATACAGACCATCAACCCCACATAATACTTCTGTTCAAAGAATGTTAAACTCCTTGACTTGAACCAAGCTAATAATATCACTTAAAGAGCTCCTTTGGGCCGGTCAGGATTTATGGTTTTGCAAAAGGGCATCTGCAGAACAAAGTGCAGGTAACAGCCTGAATTACTCTTCCAAATCTCTTAGCAGTTGCTAGCTTTGAGAGAAAAACATCCTTCCAATCACAGTGTCAATACAGAGGATTTTTGGCAAGAATATTTTGGATGACACAAAGCTTGTCTGCCAGAGGCGTGAAAGTTAACGTTGTTAGACCTTGCCACAGAAGACCAAAACTGAAATACAAGGTTGCAAACAATTTTCATCTATTTGCTATTCAGCCCTTCCACCATATCTCAGTTCAACCTGTCCTTTCTGCGTTTCATGGCAAGCCCATACAACACGTGGCCATACCACCAGATGCATCCTGCCACACTAGGTAGGTGAGAACTTGCCAGGCGTGCCTCCTTTCTCTGTACAAGAGAGCCCAGAGCGACAGCCCAGAAAGGCTGCCACTTCTTGGCCTGGCAGCCCATGAGGAGAGCACTGGACTTGCTCACCTCCGCATGCTGGGTAGCGCAGAGACAGTCAGCCTGGGAATTTCTGAAGGCAAGGACAGAAAGGGTGTGAAATCGGGAGCAGAGAGCTATACCAAAGCAATGTCCCTATTCCTATCTTGTCAGACAAAAGCTGGTAGGTAAGCAGAAACTGCTCAGTGTCTGGTGTTCACTGCATCTGATGAAGTTCATTGCTTACAGCTCACTTAGCATCCTTTAAACAGTGAAGTTCTCTACTTGCTCCCCGCTCCAGATCAAATCACTGCCACTCCATTTATGCTGGAACTAGGAGGTCACCAATGGTAACCACAGATAATCAATGTTTAAAGACACAGCTACCACCAGGCAGCTAACTAGCTCTATCTCTGTCCCCTCCCAGGAGAAAACCAGTTATCTCCAAGACCTCTGATCAGCTGCTGTGAACTACAGTGATCGTGGCTCCACGTTATGCATCCATTGCTGTACCTGGCCCTACATGTATTTTGCAGTAGCTGATCAGCAGCAAATGCTTATTAACTATCAGACATCAGTGGCCGCTTGCACCCAGCAACTAAGCGGATCAGGAGCTAGAAGCCCAATTGAGATCTCAGTGGAAGACAGAAGACCTTGCCTTGCACCAAGACAACATGCTGATCAGCAGCCACTTTGAATCCAACTGGAGCAGATGAAAGTTACTGAAAGAAGAGTATTGAGCTGGAGACATATACAGACATACACAGAAACATCGTATTTGGGAGAATGAAAGACAGGCGTGCACCAACGGTGACAGTCCGAAATCTTTATGAGGTCCTAATGTATTCCTTTCATTTGTGCTTTCCAGCTTAACGAGAAAAGCTGCAGCCAGAAAGGCACGACCAGCCTGTTGCAGCTAGTCTCCATGAGCCCTCCTCTATCATCAACCTGTTCTTTCTGCTTCCCACCTTCAGGGCGCCATCTTCCTATTTTTGTGGTTATTGGTGCCAGATGATCATGTGGTGTTACACCGGGTCACACTGAAAACCTAGGTGCAGCATAAATCAATTCTGTTATTAAAGAGTTACAAGGAATAATCAGTCAATCCACTCCTAGCTTTAATTCACTAGCAACCTTTAAATTTTAAACTTACTAGATGAGTCTGTGAAACGTGACTATCATATACGCATGTGTTCGAGACAAAAGAAAAAAATCCCGAATTCTGGAAAAAACTAACAATCAGTCAATCCATCCTACAGTGTACTTTACAGACAAATAACCCTATTTCACTCTGCCCCCCAAAGTGTTGAAATTTCATCTGAATACTGCAAGCTAAAAAAACCTACCTGAATGCATGGCATAAGCCAACAGTGCTTTTTCAATGCATCTACACTAAGAAACAAGGTGAACTGCTCTCTCTCTCTACGTATCAGCTAATACAGAAACCAGCTGGAGCCAAAATGTCAACCTGGACAAAATAGTTTTTCCATTATCGTACTATCAGGTGTCAGTTTTCCACAGTGAGGAAAATTCCCTAAATATTAATGTCACACAGATTAAACCAAGTCATTATTATCCAACA